ATAACTGAGAAAAGAATGACACTAGCACTGATATTACAATAATAACTGAGAAAGAATGACAATAGCACTGATATTACAATAAAACCGAGAAAAGAATGACAATAGCACTAACATTACAATAAGAACTGAGGAAATAATGACATTAGCACTGATATTACAATAATAACTGAGGAAATAATGACAACAGCACTGATATTTCAATAAGAACTGAGGAAAGAATGACAAAAGCACTGATATTACAATAATAACTGAGAAAAGAATGACACTAGCACTGATATTACAATAAGAACTGAGGAAAGAACGACAATAGCACTGATAGTACAATAATAACTGAGGAAAGAATGACATTAGCACTGATATTAGTGGCCTTGCTCTTAATCAACCAAACCAAATTGTGTGTACTTGAGAATGTAGCACAAGTTATGGAAATGTCGTCGTACGTGTTTACAAAAAACATTTTCTTTATAGAAGCTGCAAGTTGTGAAAAATAGTTTTGGCTCGTTTTTAAATACGATAATGAAGAAATAACGGTAACATGGTGGTTTTGTAACATTAGTAATTTATTAATACAACATCTGAAGAAAAACAAATGAAAATATTTATTAATTTGAGTTTCACAGGTGATAGATTAAGTAAACTTTAAACTTCAGGGGTAAATACATTATGTATTAAGGAATCGCCTTCTTTTTATGTCTTGTGTTTCATTAGGCAAGAAAAAAAAACGAGAATGGGCTTATATTTGCAGAATACTTGCATTATTTGACGGTAAAGCTTTCGAAGTGACAGGAATACACCCTTCTGCTCTTCTTATATTTGTTGATTTATATATTGTTTTAGCATATCTGTACCTCTACTCAGTACCGCTCTTCTCCACAGCCATACCGTTGAATTCACCCAAAGCTGTTGTTTGTAGGCGCCTTCAAAGTATGAATAAATATTGGTCCTCCCTTTCATTCACACTGGCCACATTCCTTGTTCATTTTAGTTGGTCCTCCCTTTCATTCGCATTGGTCACATTCTTTGTTCATATTA